AAAAACTTACATCTGTGTGGGGCAAAAATGACCAACTGAACATTGACTACGGCTAAAGATTAAAAAAGACTTGGATTGAATTATACTATATTTTTATAGAAAGTGTATAAAACTTCCAGTTTGATTGTATTAACAAAATATGATCAAACGAATATTGTTATTATGAATTATATACAGTAAACCCTCGCTTTACGTGGCAAGTGCGTACCGTGCAGTATAGGAACCGTGCTATAAGAAACTCGTATTTAACATACAATTCAGGCTAATTCGTAGTGCGTTCTATGGAACCTTACATAGTGCAGTATGGGAACCGTGTTATGAGAGACTCAGAGTTGGTACAAATCGCACCATTTTTATCGCGTTGTATGGAGACCAAGAAATACAACTTGAAGTAGGAGAAATACGGACGAAATGACGTAAATGACGTGACGAAATTGACACCTTATTCAAAAATTGGCGCGACGCAGTAATCAGCTCAAACGTGTTCTTAGGCGGCTATTATACAATCAGGCATGTCTAAAAGATAAAAGTCGATAACAAAATTTACAACAATACCCTTTTGCACAACGGACTTATGGGCTGTTGACCAAATACCGTGTAATAAGAAGTCCGTGTACCCAGAGTGCCGTGTAAAGCGAGGGCCTACTCCTAGACAATATTAGAATACCCCGTGGATCGGAGATTACTGGCCATGGTTCGAGCTGCTAAAATCCTTGGTGCGCACACGTCGACCGTAGAACGGGTGAGGAAATGCACTCATAGATACGTAAGTAATTGAATGCACCTTGGCACCTACATTGTATAGTTTGAATCATAGATAAACAAGTTTGAATTTAAAATTTAAAACCAGTGAAATTAGATTTTAAAAAGCATTTATTTTTCACATAAAATTTTACATACATGATTACAAAAGATGGTATTCACATTCATCCTTATAATCAAGCACAAAAAGAATAGAAATGTATATACAGTAGGCCCTCGCTTTACACGGCACTCTGGGTACACGGTTCCCATACTACACGGAGCTAAAAATCCGACATCCCTCCGAGTACACGGACTTCTTATTACACGGTATTTGGTCAACAGCCCATAAGTCCGTTGTGCAAAAGGGTATTGTTGTAAATTTTGTTATCGACTTTTATCTTTTAGACATGCCTGATTGTATAATAGCCGCCTAAGAACACGTTTGAGCTGATTACTGCGTCGCGCCAATTTTTGAATAAGTCATTTCGTCCGTATTTCTCCTACTTCAAGTTGTATTTCTTGGTCTCCATACAACGCGATAAAAATGGTGCGATTTGTACCAACTCTGAGTCTCTCATAACACGGTTCCCATACTGCACTATGTAAGGTATCATAGAACGCACTACGAATTAGCCTGAATTGTATGTTAAATACGAGTTTCTTATAGCACGGTTCCTATACTGCACGGTACGCACTTGCCGCGTAAAGCGAGGGTTTACTGTACCGTGTTTTGAAATGGATTGGTACTTGAATAGTTCGAAGGATGGCGCTTCGATTTCCAATTTCATTGATCTAGCAGCTGGCTTGATCTACATTGATTTGATCGGCCATTTTCTATAAGTTGTCAAGTTGTCATCGCGTATTGTAGTTGAGATTTTCTGTGATTGTTTATATATAATTATGTTTTGGTGAATACTTTTTTCATTTATTGTTAAGTTAAAATGATAAAGTGTTATGTGCCAAATTGTTATAACCCCAAATATTATAAAAAAATGCATGTCTTTCCGGCATCTAATTATCAGGTATGTATATAATGATGTATTAAGCATATAATGAATATGTATCATCACAATACTATTAAAATGTTATATATATATATATATATATATATATATTTGTGTAAATATATATTATATATATTTGTGTGTAAAAATTTGTGTGTAAAAAGATGCTTTCAATTTGGATGCAGAGGGCGAATAATCTTTTAATGGATGACCTAACTCTTCGGTTTGTGGCACAAATCAACGATAATTTGAAATCGAAACCAAACAGAAGTGTCTCCTTTACGGCAATAACAGAATAGTTTTCAAGTCACTGGAGAATGCTCTGATACAGAACCAGAAGAAAAATCTGCAACTCTAAGGACAAAGCCAAGTAATTATAACTCTAAATACTTCAATGACATTTGCAAAAAATATTAATAAATGAATCTTATGTTCTTAGAAGATGGAAGCCTAAACACCTTGAAAAAGATTTTTGCAGCACCTCTAAGATTGTGAAGTGCAGGTTAAAAGTCACCTATTCTGACACCAGTTTTCCGAAAAGGTATTTTTTCATACTAATTGCAACAAAAATATTTAATGTGATAATTACAATATCTTCACTTAATATGATATAACAGTATATTCAATAGAAGTCCTTGATGGTAGCTGCAAATTGCCGCAGAATGCAATGATAAGGCGTAGGAGTGCCTTAACACCCAGAAGATGTATGATACATCAAATTTTGTTTTGGGATTAAAATGCAATGCAATAATTTAAAGGATAAATTCCAACAGAGTATACAATGTTCTGAGAAGTTTTCAAATATTCCGGAAACTTAAAATGTAAGGGCAAGAATTTTGATAATGTCTCAATTAAGAGAGCATACTCAAAGACCAGACAGTTTATATAAAGCGCAAGGGTTTAGTTATAGTTTTAACTAAAGATTTGAGCTACAATTGGTATAAATTAAAAGTAGTTCAGGGTTTTGGTTACTTACGTTCAGGGCCGGATTTAGAAATTTGGCGTCCCGGGGCACTGATAAAAATGCCGCCCCATCCCTGAAATTTTACGAACTTTCGCACTTTTTTTTAAAGCAATCGCGCTGCTTCAGTTGCGTAGGGACAAAATATAGAAGCGCGTAAGCGCCGCGTCGCAGTCAACTGATAAACAATGTTACAGAACGCATATAAATGTAAACAAAATGTATGCTTATTATTATAATATCTTTAAAATATCTAATAATTTAATGCGCATATGTCTTATGATCACTTTTGTCCGCCAAAATGTTTCTTTCTCAAATTTTTTATTGGATCATCGAAAACCGCTAAATGCCCCCCACAAATTTAATCAGTTATTTATTCTGTAATTTTTTTGAATGATATTGGACGCTTTTTATCTCAAAAAGGGAACTATCATTTTTGGAATTTTGACCCGTATCTTCAGAACAGTTGGATGTGCCTTGGCCAATAACTAATCAGCACGTCTCCTTATCAATAAGAGTTGAATCATTTTGAATGAATTGAATCAAATCGGTTAATCCATGTTTTCGAAATTGACTTGATAATTAAAAAATATTAGATTTGTATGGAGAGACGTGCTGATCAGCTTTTGGACAAGCAATTACGAAAATGGTAATTGAGTTTCGATATTTCTTCTCTGAAACAGCTACGCAGCGCGATTGCTTGCAAAAAGTTCATAATTTTCAAAAAATTTCAAAATACGAAAAATGTCTTTTAAAGTCTTTTTTTTTTCATTTTTGAAAAAATGTTAAAGCTCTTTATAAAATGTAATTTTTAGTACGGGATGTTTCAGTAATTTGTCAGACACAATGCCATGAGTCAGTAGTAAGCT